AAGATTAAGCCGTGCTCACCTTAACAAATAATAGACTTAGTGGAAGCAGACCATTTATGTCAAAAACTGTACTGCCTTACTTTTATATGTATCTAGCGACCCGGTCCTGACCTGACCTCATTATTCAAAAGCCACAGAGGCTCTGATATGGTGATAGCTCGTTAGTAATGGCTGGGCACTCGTCCTTCCGGTTGATTTTTGGATTTTGGGCGGCTATCCAAAACGCTTCGAGTGTCTTGCGCGCTAGGATTTCGGGTTCACGCGCCAGGATTCGAACTTGCACCGCCACCTCCGCGTCGTCATGGCTGAGCCTGCGATGCATGCCTAACGGAGTAGCTACATTGCCCTTGCTGAGACCATCTAAATGTTCCTTGATGCGCGTGCATAGGGGGCGGCTCGTCTCGCCAATATACGTGCCTCTACATGTTGTACACGTGATAAGGTAGACAACACCTGTTACCATACAATCTCCTTCCTTGCCAAACGGAGAAATCACACAATGAGGAGTTGTACAGAGACGGTCGTACTCGCGGCTACGTCTAGTTGCTGTTTAAGGCTTGCGGGAGGAATGTCGACGATCCTTACCATATCGTTGAGGTCTGCTTGATGGAGCATTTTGCGAACGGCCCTACTAAAATCTTCTGAGATGAATGGTAGACAGGATGGGATCTGATCTTCAGCTTCTGATCTAGGCGGACGATGAACCCGGTATCTTTGAGAACTATGAGTCTCTGTGCTGTATCCATTGGATCTTGCTACGGATCTTGCAAGTTCCAGCGAGTGCATCTTTTCGTCTCTATCAGAAGAGACCCCCACAGCCGTTTTAAACATGTTACCTATGATGGGACGCTTTTATTCGTGCCGGATGTGCTGAAGAATGGTGTATTAAGATACTCTTGCTGCTCGGCTTTCGGTACCATCTGGTCTTGAAACGTCTGTTCGACAAACTTAACTGTACATTAAGGAACGGCAAATATCCATCTTTGGGTTTCTCCCTCGTCATCTTGATGTTGGCATCCTGGGCATTCAAAATATTGAAGCACGTATCAAGTTCGGCCTGAGTGGGACACACGATACAGCAGTCGTCTACATACCGACAGCAGAGGAGAAGCCTGCTTGCCAATACCGGGGCTTCCACCTTGGACATGAACACAATCGCTAAAGTGGGCGCTAGTCTTTGTCCCATAGCCAGTCCACTTATTTGCCTGTAATAGTTGTCACACCAACGAAAGATGGAGCAGTCGAGGCATTCTTTAACCAACGACAAGATGCCTCTGATGCTAAGACCGTAGAGATTGAGTGACGACTGGTGTTCTAGAAGAAGCTCGAATGTCGCTTGCATCGCCGCGTCGTTGGAAACGTTGGTATAGAGGATTCCTCATCGAAAGACTCCAAGACGCACTCTTGCCTTGCACTTGTGCTGCGCAGGCGATCAAGAAACATCTTTGTGTTGGAGAGATGTGCGGGTACAAATCTGAGCAGTTGAAAAAGGACGCTATGGAGAAACCACGAAATCCTATCTGTAGGACCTCCAACGCTGCCTGATGATAGGCCTGACCTTAAAATCCTGCGGGTTATTGGACGTTAAACTATCTACGGACACCTTATGTGTCTTGATAAGAGTGTAGAGAACTGGACACATGGGTAGATCGGTTTTTAGACGTGTAGCCATAGCCCTAGGAATGCCTTCCGCTTTAGCTACCTCTAACCATACCCTGTTTAAGCGGCGGTACTACTTTCTGAAATCGTTTGCTGTCACGGGCTGTACGGTAGTGTCCTGTAGATGATGTCTGGTGATAGCCATGTCTAAATCACGAGAGAGAACTACAAACTCTCCTCCCTTGTCGCTGACCGACACCTTGATCTCTCCAGCAGCACAAAGGTCGCGAATTTCACGCAGACCGCGGCGTTGCAAAAGTGATATACTATTTTGCCGTTTTTCGCGGAATTGGTTGAGAACTGAGAAGAGCCCAGTAGCAAATACTCGAAACTTGGCATCCTGCGGTTTATAAACTAAACGCGAAAAAGGTATAACTGGCCATGTTTTTCCCCCAGCTGTTTCGCCGTCTCTTGCGCTCTCACGTTCGTTGGCTCGCTGACGTATCTTTTCGTGAACGTATTGCAGGCTGCCGACAATCCTACGCGATACCCAAGATCCTGTTGATTGACTAGGTGCGAAACTAGGACCAAGGTTCAATAATGATAGCGCATTATCGGCAATGTAGCTACTCCGTTAGGCATGCATCGCAGGCTCAGCCATGACGACGCGAGGTGGGGGTGCAAGTTCGAATCCTGGCGCGTGAACCCGAAATCCTAGCGCGCAAGACACTCGGAGCGTTTTATATAGCCGCCCAAAATTCAAAAATCAACCGGAAGGACGAGTGCCCAGCCATTACTAACGAGCTATCACCATATCAGAGCCTCTGTGGCTTTTGAATAATGAGGTCAGGTCAGGACCGGGTCGCTAGATACATATAAAAGTAAGGCAGTACAGTTTTTGACATAAATGGTCTGCTTCCACTAAGTCTATTATTTGTTAAGGTGAGCACTGGCTTAATCTTGCGTTTTGGTTGACGCTGTTGCTTTTCTAAGGGGTTGGGCTCTTTTCTGTAATCGACAAGGTGTTTGGTCGGATAGTTCACTCATGTGTTTTCGACTTTTCAGACTCTGAAGAAGGCGAGTTCGCCGAAGCGTCAGTATGTATACTGTGGTTGTGGAATAAACATCTGTACCAATCATGGACGCTGCTAAGAAATCAATCCAGAAGAACTAAATTATTATTATTATTATTTTTTTATATACATTATTATTTTTCATTATTGTTTTTGTTTTATTAGTTTATATATGCCCGATGTGGATTGTGTTTACGTGAGCAAGTTAGAATTTTTGTAGGATTTTTATGAACTGAGTTACGATTTTTCTCAATTTTTCGGGCAGTTGAATCTTTTTAGTTTTTGGCTCGAAACTCGTGGTGGATCAGAGCTGTTGCTGAAGCAAGATAGCCACCTTGTAGAGCTTGCTTTGCTCTAACGAACAGTACCTTGCAACCTATTTAAAAATGAGAAATGTATGATTTATTGCGGTTGGATCAAAACCTGCATTAATTTCCGGACAACCTAACACCGAAATTGGTCAAAGCTTCACAGGATGGTGTCAACCTCCTATTACGTGTCAAAAGATTTGACATGTCACCTACTCAACAGGTCTTACCGAGCGTTTGTTCAGACTAATTATCAGTGTAAGTTCAATCTATTTCCTAATCAATGATGATCCTATTTCTATTCAACAGCTTCAAAAGAACATTAGCATTATGGATATAACATCTGTTTGATGAACACATTGAATTTGCCCAAAACAAAGAAGTGGACTATTGCTTCATCATTTAAACAAAGACAGCCTAGGCGGCTTAGTAATCCTTCTCTGGCTAGAGTCGCATGGAACAATCTAGAAAGAAGATATTTTGAAAAATTTTAGTCTTTTAGTATCTTTTATGATTTTGAGTGTGTCAGACTATGGGTAAACGTGTAAATTTTTATCTTAGCAAGTGGAGAGAGTCCTCAAAGGATCGCGGAAAAAATCTAAATCTTAAACACGTATTTCATCTTATATATAAGTGAATGTCTGTTTGTATTTTTGTCTGTCTGTCTGTATGTATGTCTGTGTCTGTCTGTACGTGTGTTCCGAATAGAAAATTTCATTTCTGAACCGATCCGGACCAAACTTGGCACACATACACTCCGGGCCCCGGCGGGTGTCATGGGCCATTTTTCGTCATCGATCGACATCGATGTTATCGATTTTTATCGATTTTTTTGCAGAGTTTGAGCTACGGGGCTGGGAGATGGCACAGGGAGTAATCGAGCATGATGATTAAGAATACAACATTAGTTTTTAGAATTATCCATTACTTTCATCGATTTTATTGATTTTTTTGCAAAGTTTGAGCTACGGTATTGGGAGGCACAGGGGGAGGGGGGGGATAAGTGAGCATGCTGATTACTAACACAGCGAAATAGTTGCTTGTAGAAGTGGGCACAGGGAAAGGTTGTACACGGAAGGGAGTGAAACTTCATAGTGTTTTGACAGGGCGGGGCGGAGCCGGGTAAGCCAGTTAGCTATCATCTAAAAAAATTGGGTCCGCTGAACGGAGAAGTGCCGAATTATGAAAAACATCTCCATAGATCCCTTGCATAGATATCATAAATAGCGAAATCTTTCTATGTAGAAACCAACCATTTGAAAATGCATTTACTATCCAAGTAGTCAGGGTATTATTCACTTCGTCGTCTCATCGTTTTTGATGGTGACGCGGTGTTTGATTCTACAGCACGTGATACACTATAAGTGCAACGGTCGGATCTTGATCTAAGAGTACAGTCATATGGAGATGTTGCGTTTTGTTATCCTCGCATTTATCCCGCTTAGGATGAGTCTGCCTTTTTTATCAGTTCTCTTCATATTTTCCTACCTGAGGCAAGGTTTTCATCTATTCCAAGTCTCGCAAGTCGGTCGTAATTCTTCCACCCACCACGTCTTGGGTCTACCCTTAGGTCTTTTACCTGGTGCCTCCACCGTTAAAGCTAATCTAGTGATGTGGCTCTCCTTCCTCCTGCGCACATGCCCGTACTATCGTAATCTCTTCTGCTGCATTTTCTGGCCAAAGAGCTATTTTCATTTGGGCTTATATAGTCCCATTGCAGATGTGGTTTTTATGACTCCTAAGATCAATCGTATGCACGATGGACATCGCTCGTCGCTCTTCCTCCTGCTCGAACTTTTACCGGTACACTCTAACAGGAATTTTAATTTTTAAAGTAGTTTATAGCCATAGATGCAATAAAAAGTTACATAACTAAGCAAAATCTCCTCAAATAAATTTATCTCACAAACCTATCTCCTACTCACAGCTAATTACATCTTGATCACACATCTGCTACATGCACCTTGGCAAACTTCACCATGAAATTGCGATCGTGTAATTCCTCCTCATCACTTTTGTTTTATTTCATCATGCTGATCTCACTTTCCATGCGCTCTACTCGATGTGCAATCTCATCCATCACATCCATCACACTCTAAAATAGTAAGATAAGGTGACTGCTGTGGGCTTTGCTTTTCTTTTTCCTTACCATTCCTTCGATAGTCTAGAGACAGGGCGTTAAAAATGAAGGTTGTTTGAATATCTGACCTCATAAAAAAAGTATGTCGTTTAAAGAAGATCAGAGAAGAGGAAATGACGTAAAACCAGTGGCGTACCCAGGATTTCGGCTCGGGGGGGGCGCGACAAAAAATTTTTTCTAATGAAGGTGCGTGGCGTCAGCCACGCACTCCGAAAAAATTTTAGGGGTGCTTCTCAAAATTTTCGCGAGTCCTCAACCCCTGAAATCTGGAAAAAGGGGGCGTGGCGTCAGCCACGCCCCCGAAAAAAATTGTTTTACAAGGCTAATTTGAATTTTTAAAAATTTTTAAAGATTATTTTAATTATTTACAAGTATAAATAAGTCACTTGCACATTTTTTTAACCCACATAAGTAACTTTCAAAAATTTCGCGACCCATTCTCGGGGGGGGCGCGCGCCCCCCCCCCCGCCCCCCCCCCTCGGTACGCCACTGCGTAAAACAGATATGAAAAGCAAAAGATATTGCTGAAAACCGGATAAAAACGCTGCAATGATGTTTGAATTCTTTCATTTGGCGGCTCTTTAAAGTGCAAGTTTTCGCTCCAGGACAAGCAATTCACAACACAGGGGAAAGCAAGGGAGAGCTAATCTCTTTCTTGTGATTGTTTCAAAAAGACATGTTTTGGAAGGAGCGTTGATCAAGAAGAAGATAAACAAGAAAGAAATTAGTTATAAAAACGCATTTCTTTTTTACTAAGTCGAAAAGAACGTTGAAGCCAAATTCAATTTTTAATGCATCCTTTGAATTTTTACCCCCGCATTGATGTTCCTGTCTCTTGGAACGTTGTCTAGATTGTTGCGCTTATTGTTCTGAGCAACAATCGCCCAAGCTGAAAAGAAATCGCTGCGAAAGCACTGAAACAGAACGAGGTAAAGAAAAACGCACTTTTTACGGTTTTTCACAGAAAATTTCACCATAATCGAAGAGATAAGGGCTTGGTGGTTGTCTGCATTATGAACAGAAGCACAAGATCTATGGAATGCATAAAAAATCCGCGTGGAAAGAGTTAAACTAGGAGAAAAACAGGAGAATTTCGAAAATGAGGTTTTCGCCGGATTTCTCGATCAAATCAAAAAATATGGTTATGGGACGCTGTCAGCGTGAAAATAGAGATCACGAGCTTCAAAATGATATATAGCTTGCTAAGACTGGGCTTGAAACAACGAAGAAAAGGGTACCAGAGCCAAATGCGTCGCGCCCCGCGTTTGGGGTAGCGTGCTAGAGCGCAGCGCGCGGAGACGCAGACGAGCAGCGGAGACAGACCAGAGCCGACGGGGCATTTGGCTCTGGTAGTAGGCTGCGCAGGGTCTCAACGAAATCCTACAACATTATATATCATTCTCATCGTCAACACGACAAGGAGCACCAACGACGTGTTGAAAATTGCTCATTAACGAGATAGACCAGCATTTTCATGCGCGAGACTTTGCGCAAGATTTGATGGCAGTTTCTCGTTATTTAACTCCAACAACTTTCCTAAACTTCTGAAACTCCAATTCGGTCGAATAAGATTGTTAGCTGAGAGATGTTGTTCTGAATTCTGGCGAAAATTTTACAGAAACCTTCGTTTTGACGTAAAAAAGGCTGTGAAAACGTAAATTCTCGGTTTCGATGAGGCAACCAAGATACTATTCCCTATTTTTGCTTCATTAACATTCGTTCCGATATAGTCAGGATAATAATACTCGGAGCTTCGCCCAGAGAAGACTTCCGTTTTTTTCCAGGTGAAGGTTGTGTCCCCTCATAGCCTTCAAACTTGAAGGTTACCAGAGTACGTGGCTCTATGCATCGAGGGTATGCTCCTTACCATAAGCGAAATATGATCTCTCTTCTCATTTGAATTATTCATATTCAACTCTCTTTCCATACGCTTTACTCGAGTTGCAGTTTCATCTATTTGACTCTGTAAGAGTAAACTTTTGTTATGCCGCTTTTGCTTGAATTTCTTCTGATGCATTTACCTTTATTTCGTCTTCCATACGCTCTAATCGGTCCGTGATATCCTCCACCGCGCTCTGAAGTGGAGAGATCCTGTTATTACGTAAAAGTCCTTTCTCACAATACTTTATCTTCTTTCTCCTGTAAAACGACCCTCAATTCCCTTTCAATCCGCTCCACTCGTTTTGCCACCTCGTCAAGCACGCTCTGAAACAATGAGTCAGTTTATAGCTGTTGTATTCATTACGCCCTTACTGTCAACGAGAATTTTTCTGCCTTTTTGAGGAGTACATCCATCTTTTCACTTTCTATGTTCTCAATTCGATTTTCAATCTCTTCTATCACACCCTGGAAAGCCAATAGTGGTATATCGCTACTTGTGATTTCTCTTCAAATATTTACCATCATTTCCTTTTCCATACGTCCCACCTGGTGCGCAATGTCGTCCACTGCACACTGAAATAATAAAAAGCACTATTTTGTCACGTTATTGTTTCTAAAAAGCAATACTTTGTCTCCCTTTTTCGATAAAACAGCTTTCATCTCCTTTTCTACGCGCTCTACTCGGTTTGCAGTCTCATTCAGCATGCTCTGAAGTAATGAAAGAATAACGCATTGATGTTGTGGTGGTTATCTTGCCGTCAGTGAGCCTCTGCTTGCCCTCTTCAGTTGAACATCACTCATTTCATTTTCGATGCGCTCTACTCGATTTGCAATCTCGTCTACCGCACACTGAATTAGTAAAACAGTCTTGCTGTTCTTTTGTCTTGCTCATCAGCAATACTTTATCTCCTTTCCCTAGTGAAACAGCCGTTATTTTCCTTTCTATACGCTCTACTCGATTTACAATCTCGTCCAGCACGCTCTAAAAGATTTATGGTAGGATTCTATTGGTCCGTTTTGCTTATGTCATAATAAGATATTTTCCTCTATATCTGTGGGAGCGGTTCTCCTTACTGTGTCTTCCATGTGCTTCACTAGTTTTGTAAAGTTTTCTGGTTCAATCTAAAAGCGAGAAACAGTAAGCTCTTGTTGTGTTTCAAACATTGGTTTTGCCATCGCCGGGGCTTTCTCCGAATCCCTTTTGTATGCGCTCTACTCGATGTGCAGTAACTTCTCTTGCCTTCAGCGGGACTTCGTCTCTCGTCCCGAGTGAGCCGTCTTTCACTTCACTTTCTATGCGCTCTACTCGAGTTGCAATCCCGTCCAGCACACTCTAAAAAGAAGATAAGGACCATATCTTGTCGATTTCGCTCACACCATAAGCATGGTTTTAAATTCCTTCTCCTGTCGAGTATTCTCCTCAATTTTTCTTTCTATGTGCTCTACTCGAGTTGCCATTTCGTCCACCACACTCTGAAATAAGAAAGTAAATCTTATTGGAGTTGCTTTTGCTATCAAGACTTTGTTTATCTTCTCTGATGGAGCATTCCTTAGTTGCCCTTCCATGCGATCCAATCGATTTGCAATCTTGTCTACCATAGTCTAGGATAAAAGTTGTAAGTCAAAGCTGTATTTGACGTTCAAACTTGCCATCAACAGGAATTTTTCCCTCTTTTCTTGTGAAATATCTTTACTCATTTCCATTTCTATGTGCTCTATTCGACTCTCAATCTTTTCAAGGACACTCTAAACAATGAAGCGTTAAAATTTTGATGTCCCGCTTTCATCTCATCACAAAGAACTATAGACTTTGTCTTTCTTGTCCTCTAAAATGCTTCTTGATTCTCGTTTGAGGCGCTCCACTCGATTCGCGATTTCGTCCATAGCATTCTGAACTGGTGACCTAGTATCATGTCTGCTTCCCTCCAATCTATTTTACCATCGTTTGTTTGACCCTCTTCTCTTGTGAAGCATTTTCCTTTATTCCTTTATCAAATGTCCTATTTGCCGCTTTGTCGGACTCACCCTAAACGCTGCAATATATAATTTTGCGTACTCATGTCCATCCTGCCTTGAATGGTCTGCTAACACTGTCCCTCTTCTCTGATTGATCTTCTCTCAATTCCTTCTCAATGCGGTCAAATCTTTTCACAATCTCTTCCAACAAATCCATCTAGCTCTGCAAGTATCTTTATTAGTGCCGTCTTTTTCAAAAATAGTTTTTTTTTGTTTCAGTTTTCGTATTTATCAAGGCAGATGCTCTATCTTAACTCTATTACAAACTAGCTGGCAAACCCGGCTCCGCCGGATCTGTCAGTACTTCGTAATCAGCATGCTCATTTACCCCCTTAGGCCAACTCTCAGCTTTATAGGTGGAGCTTTGCCAAAAAATTGATAAATCGCTATCGTCCATTGACGAAAAGTAGCCTACGATGCCCGCCCCACCTCAGAGTGTAGTGTGTCTAGATCAATCAATAAAAAACTTCAACTCGACACAAATATGGCTCAGGTTTATACAGACGACTTACGTCTTTTGAGCAAATTTATCTGATGTACTTTAGGTTACGCAGCCTTCCACAGAAAATATATGGGTATGTTCGTTGCGGAACACTGAGAATCCAATCTTAAAATGCGGGAAACAATTCTTACAAAAGTTATTGAACCATTTACTCCTGAAAGTGGCGAAGAGTGCCTTGAGTATGAGAATCGTATTAGATTGGAAACTCAGTTTTGCACCTTTTTTAAATAACTTTCCTTTCTTTCAAATGGCGCACAAATTCTGCCATTATGTAGACTATGATGTAAGCTACATGCGCGGCTGCTGTCCTCCCAAACTCTGACGTCTCCGTGAGAGTCACGGTAGCTATACCATATAAGGGTAAATTACGGAATTTTACGGATTTGGCTGAAACTGGCATAGGGGGTGGGGGGGGGGGGGGTATCCGGGTGCTGATCACGAAAACAATATTGAAGTTGCATGGTAAGAACTTTTTGCAAGATAACTGCAAGCTTGCGGTGTAAGGTCTCACACCAAACAAGAGAAGAGGTGTTCTCCAATTAAATATGATATTCGTGTTTGGCAGGTTAATAATCCCACTATGCGAAATCTCAACAAATTTCGAGGTTTCGACCCCTTATGGAGTTTGTCCCTCGCAACGTTGCGTACAGCGACTTGTTTGACTTTGTGAGGGCACCAATTCTTGAGCTGCTTCTATGAACTTCTTTCTTACTGAGCCGAACGACTTGATCCAGTTCCTAAGTCCAGATTATTGTACATATTCTAGATTGTTAGCGGCTTCATTTTGTGTTATAACCCTAACAATTGTTGAAAATCACTTGTTTTCTAAGTGCCTGGAATTCTTCCAAATCGTTTTCGAAATCCAAACAGTCGCTTAAACTGCCAAAGTTTGAATGCTCACATCCAAAGAGATTATGGTTATGAAAGAAATTATAAAACTTAGTTTCCAAACTAAGAGATGCAAATACATCGTTTTCTCTTTTTTTTTTGCGAACCAACGTGCAGTTTCGGTTACTTCCCATTGGTGGATGTTTTATCACGAATGTATCGAGATAATAATCTGGTAAGAAAAAAAAACTGACTGGCTTACTAGCTATTGAACCTGGGGATCTAGCTTGGCATGCTAGCTAGCTTACCCACCACTACACTGACTAGCTCCTAAGGAAACCTCCAGACCACGCCATTTGCCACTTATGCGGCCGGTGGCTGCTTTCGCGCCGGTTGCCGCTACTGCAGCTGAAGCGCACGGGGTCAGATTTGTCCGAGGAGCGCCTCGGGGGACTTACTCGCACTTACGGGGTACGTTCCGGGTTTTTACTGTTTTGCCGCTATTCTTTCGTTAAGGAAGTTCTTCCTCTATGTTGCAGTAAATGTTTGCATTGCAGGGTGATTTGTTTGACCTGACTTCAGTTTCTTCGTTGCCCTACGATGCTGAAGTAAGCCCTGCTTGCTGAAGGAAATTTTTCCTTTTGATTTATCCCCTGCTGTGGACGTAATCACTCATGTTAAAGTGACTGAACTAATGCTAAACAAAGCTCTTCTATGTTTTCGTTTTTATTCTACTCTTCTATGCTAGGTGACCGATTTCGTAGACAAGGTTTTATCTTTCTGTTCTACTTTGTTTTTTCCGCTATGTTATGGGAGCGACATAATTGTAGGAGATTTGGTGAACTATTTTTGCTTTTGGTTTTACTTTACAATAAGTGAAGGATTTCTCCCAAACTGAACGCATTTTGGTCTTTTTCCGTCTTGAGGCTCGCCTACTATGCTGAGTAAGCAAAATCGCTGCGAAAAGAAGGGACGGGTAAAGAGAAACACCGTTTGACAATGATTCGCTAACTGCTGCCTAGCAGACCAGCTCAACAACCAGTGATGTTGAATCTTATTGCCACAGTATCTTCGTTCAGAAAAGTGGAACAGCCTCAAAACAAAAGCTGATTTGAAGAAGAAACCTCTTCTCAACGAGATTGTTCATACAGCATAATATAACAGCAAGAGTACATATCGAAACCTCTCGCAATGATATCACTCCTACGTCAGAGTGGAGCTTTAAAAAGAAGAAAGTACAAAAAACATCGCTCTGCAAAGATGAGCTCGACAAATACATCGCTCTGCAAAGTTGTAGCTCGACAAATAGTTGAAAAGCTTCAAGAATCAAAACCGTCGTTTGCTTACCAATTCGTTTAACTAGCACAAAAAATTGAATGATGAAATTTAGATGAAATAACTCCGTTCACCACAAGTTTACTGATTTTGACTAAACAAACATCTCCGTAGCAGGAGATAAACCAAAAGGGAATCTTTCGGCAAACAATCGATTACTCTAGCATCGTAGGGCAGCGAAGAATCTGAAGTCAGATCAAACAAATCACATCCGCATGGAATCGTTGACTGCATCATAGAAGAACGAACTTCAGAACGAAGAATAGCGGCAAAAACAAAAGTCCTGCAAGTACCCGTTAGTGCTAATAAGTCCCTCCGACGCGCACCTCGGACAAAATCTGGCGTGCGCATCAGCTGCAATAGCGGCAACCGGCGCGAAAGCAGCTACTGGCTGCAAATGCAACAATCGGCGTGGTCTGGAGGCTCCCTTAAACAACCTCTTCGAATTTTGCTTAAAGGCGAGAGTCCAACCAAATCTGGACTTATGGGAATTTTACGTGGAAAGTAACTTTGTGGTTTTGACTGAGGCATGGCCCAAGCAAATGCACTAACGGTTGGGATATACGTCTTCAAAAACCCCAAGATGGTTTTATCGGAAGGCTTGCATTGTGTTTGCATGCTTTCGCGCGAGGACCAACGCAAAACTGATGAGTTGTGCCATGGATCCATGTGAGATACGGTCCTGGGATCCAGTTTGGAAGCGAATATTTCAGCCGTTAGAACGCCCTCTGAGCTGCCGGTTGAGCAGTGTCTTAGTTAAGGTCTCAAAATTACTGTCCACTGAGATCCCCATATGTCTAGATTTGCCTAGACGCTCAAGGGCGCCCTCTTCTCGCCAATCCCGGAGTAAAATGCCTCCACTTATTTATTCACTCATTTATTCCTGCAGGCATAGGTACACCAGAGAAAAGGGGAATTGTAATTTGGCAAAGATTGGTGCATCAGTTGTCACTTGCTGGAATATGCAAGTCTTTCTTTTTCGCTAAAGAGTGCCAACTTCTCAATCAAGATCCTGGTCCCTTACCTAAACGTATCTTATGAAGGCAGTTTGTCAAGGCTTGGCTGTCCAACTTAACCCGAGACGGGTAAATCTCTATTGGGGACACTGGGCGGACGGAAAGAGGGCCTCAAAATAGAGAGCTCACTGGATTTTCGGATTTCCCTAACGCCCGTTACAAGCAGAGACATTTTTGGAAAAAGGAAGTTAAGAAGAGCGAACACGAATATGAGGACACCAATCGCCAATTTGCTTTTATGCGGAAGACCATAGTTAAGATATATCCGAGATCCGTGGCTCAATCTCCAATATGAGCACACAGCGCTAATAGAATCAACCAGGCAATTGTACACGTCCACTTCCGACGACGCATGGCTTAGACCACAAATCGCGAAGGTGACCACACTGTCCTCAGTGGAGCAAATGAGACCACACATTGTATTTGCAAGAAAAACCTATGAATACTTGTAGTATAACAAATGTCTTTCGCTTGCCTTCAAAATTCTGAACAACGGCGTACCGTCAACTATCTAAGAAGACTATCAACTTCCGTCTCTTTGCAGACGAAGTGTTCAGAACCATAACTAGGTTGCGCCAGCACAGAACGCCTTCGAATCTGACCATCGCGCAAAGGCAGGGCATCAGACAAATCCAACAGCTAGTTAACTCGGCGCAGATAAGACTTTCCACTAGCAATAAAGGGGGCGAGTTCGTTGTCATACCTCATGAGCTAGATCTTGCGATAACGGAAAGGCATCTCCAAGACATCTCGCTATATCGAGCTTCGTCCAGTGCCGAATTCCAAAAGCAGTATCGCAAACTCAATAGAGAGTGGGTCAAAATAGCCAAAGCTGCGAATTTGTCGCAAGATACCATAGCGCGCCTCAAAATCGAGCTGCCCGCCTGTCCCGTGCTATATCTTCTGATAAAGACGCACAAGCTCCAATCTGTCACTGATTCCTCCACAGAACCTTCCACATTCAAGGTAAACCCTATAATAAGTTGTGTGGGAGGGCCTACGGATAGAATCGACTGGTTTCTCAGTTGTATTCTAGTACAATTCATCCCTTCACACTTGGCCAACACAAATATGTTTTTGGACGCCTGCGCGAAACACGCATTGATCGCAACAGTGTCATGAAATCTTTTGATGTTAGCGCCCTCTACACCAACGTTAGTAATGAGTGTGCGCTGCAAGCTCTCTGAGCTTCTTACGGGTAACGAAACTAACATAAACCTTTACGGGCTCTCAATCCCACAGCTCATGACACTTCTCAAAGCGTGTTTAGAATGCGACATTATCAAGTGGCATGGGAGCTATTACGCGCAAGTAAGAGGTTTGGCGATGGGACAAAGGTTAGCGCCTACACTTGCAGTAGCCTTCATGGTCAAGATCGAAGCGCGAGTCTTGGAATGCCGCCCTTGCTGTATTGCAGATACATTGACGATTGTTTCATAATCTGTTTAACACAGGCAGAGGTTGACAATTGTTTTA